CTGTATATGACATACCAGTGTCTCACATGATGACTCCACTGTGTACTCGTCACGTCTGTATACGACATACCAGTGTCTCACATGATGACTCCAATGTGCACCGTCACATCTGTATATGACATACCAGTGTCTCACATGATGAACTATAAACTTCTCCAAAGCTGAAATGTTTCCTGTTTGTTCCGGAATCCTCAGTGTCTCTTATGGAGCTTGTGTGGTTGAGTGGGTTCATGTGTGTTGTGTGTCAGCTTGTGTGGTGAGTGGGTTCGTGTGTGTTGTGTGTCAGCTTGTGTGGTGAGTGGGTTCCTGTGTGTTGTGTGTCAGTTATGTGGTGAGTGGATTCGTGTGTGTTGTGTGTCAGAGTCTGTGGGGTGTGTGGGTTCCTGTGTATTGTGTGTCAGAGTCTCTGTGTGAGTGGGTTCCTGTGTATTGTGTGTCAGAATCTGTGTGGTGAGTGGGTTCCTGTGGGTTGTGTGTCAGAGTCTGTGTGGTGAGTGGGTTCCTGTGTAGTGTGTGTCAGAGTCTGTGTGGTGAGTGGGTCCTGTGTGTTGTGTGTCAGAGTCTGTGTGGTGAGTAGGTTCCTGTGTAGTGTGTGTCAGAGTCTGTGTGGTGAGTGGGTTCCTGTGTGTTGTGTGTCAGAGTCTGTGTGGTGAGTGGGTCCTGTGTGTTGTGTGTCAGAGTCTGTGTGGTATATGGGTTCCTGTGTAGTGTGTGTCAGAGTCTCTGTGTGAGTGGGTTCCTGTGTGTTGTGTGTCAGAGTCTGTGTGGTGACAGAGTTCATGAATGACTGAAGGAGGAGACAGGTACTACCTTTTGTGCCCTTGTAAAAAGCTTTTTTTAGTTGGCTAAGAAGCTTTTCTCCATGGAAGGTGTATTTTCCCCAAAATAAACCTGGAGTGTGTGTCACTACCAGAATGCCGGTGGATCAAAAGGCCTTTCTTTTTATTCCTGCTCTTCCCAGAAAATGAAAAAAAGTTCCTTTGTTACCTAAAATATCTGCGCCAGAATGTAGTGTTGTCTCCTAGCGCAAGCGCTTATTATTGTGGCTAATTTGGTCACATGTGTTTGAGGCAGAACAATGCCTCAGAAATTTTAAAAAGCAAAACAGCAATCTGAAGCATTTGTTGTAATGAGATGTAAATTGCCAACATCGGGAGTGGAGCCGACGAAAATTTGCAATGAAGCAGCCCCCCCCCACCCGCCACACGTCTACCCCCCCCCCATGTCTTAAATTAAAAGCTCTAGAGCCCTCCCTCTGCTCTCCAAGGAAACAACACGGGGCTTTTGTTGGTGGTGGTTTTTGTTGGATTTTGTCCTTTTCTTCCCTGTTTCTGTAATACTGAACACGTGCTTTACTGACTGATGCATTCTCCTCACTCATCTGCCATTTTCTGAGCCTCTGTCCTGTGCCTGCCTCGCTCCTCAGCTCCTCATGCAGGAGTTATCATCAGCCTGCATGGTGTCCCTTGGTCACCCCTCTAAGCAGAAAAGTGGAGGTTCAGAGAAGTGGCTTTCTTAGGATCATTCACCTTGAAGCCAACCCTTCTCAAGAAGTGCCTTTAACTGGCTTTCCTAGACGGCCTCCCTTGCTGAGGCTGCAGCCCTGGGTTTGACTTTCTGTATATACAATGAGCCCGAGAAAGGAGGCCATGTCAGAGAACTGCCACCAGTGTTGAACGATCCCCACTAGGGTGGTGAGAAATGCTGTCCCTTGAGAGCAACGCAGTAGCCTCGATGTTTGACCGAGCTCTGCTAGTCCCTGAAGAGATGAGTCTGAGTGTGGAAAAGGGGACAGAAATGGTTCCTCTATGCAGGGTCTTGTTCTGAGTACTAGGGGCAAAACCAGACCAGCAGGGACCCAACTCACTGAGTCCATGGTTTAGTAGTCAAAAGTAAGCACACAGTGAATGTGTGTGTGTGTGTGTGTGTGTGTGTGTTTAACTCAGTTTAGTTTTCAGTCTTGTCAAGTCATTTTTTTCTTTCCTGTGAGGCTAGATCAGAGACGTGTATATTATCTCCTGTGATGAGAATCTGCCCAGGCAGCCCAGGTCTCGGACATCAAAAGACTGGCCAGCCCCTGCCTCTACTCAGCTGCCCAGCTTTGTTGAGGCATCAGATGCCACTATGGAGTGGGGATGGTGTCAGGGAGGGCACAAAAGAGCACTTCACCTGGAGCCGAGTCTCAGCCCTCCTGTACAGTACATGTGAACCCGGTGTTTAATACCGAGCCAGGAGGGGGCAGGCTGCCTCTATTGGAAGGGGCTGGTGGTCTTACGGGAGAAGTGGCCCTTGAGTCAGGCCTGAGTCTCCCTTGCAGTGTGGACAGTTGTACAGAGGGAGCAACACAAGCACAGCCTCGGAGACCAAAGAGAAGGTGTCTGTGTGGAGGGCTAGGGAGGCCGCGTGCGCTGGAAAGGAGTCTCAGGAGAGTGGACTAACCCAACGTTGAGCCAGAGAAGCAACACTCGACTCCTGCTCCTCTAGTCTCTGCCAAAATGGATGTAGAGTCCCTTGTCAGAACCGCAGCCTCCAGGACTGTCCATCCGGAGTAGCTGCTTCTGGCGTATCTAGTTCCGATTTCTACTTCTTGGACTGTACATAAGGTTACGGGCATTCCTTCCTACCCACAATTCTTCCTCCAAGCCCCTAATTCATATCTTGCCCATCCAAGACCTTCCTTTCCAGCCTCTCTGCCCTCATGTCACAGTGAATTTGCCGAGAGCCTGCCCTGTGCCAGGTCCCACTGCGGGCTCTACAGCTGCACTGTGAGTAAATCTGCTCTTGAGAGGCTTCACAGTGTAACACCGCAAAAAGACCCAGTAGTCGGGGACACACACAGCCCACAAGTTATGACATAGAGACTACCATCTAGGAGCACAGCATCTGAAGGAAGACACCTGAGTGGGAACTGGGCAGATAGAAAGGAGCCTTCAGTGATTATTTAACAGTCCAGAGACCCTGGACAACACAATACACAAAACTGAGCAGAAGAGTCCATCTGAATTCTAGACATAGAGAGGGACTGGTTGTCCTGAGCCTTCATGGGCCGTGGGGGTGAGGAGTGGTTCATAGGAAGTGTAAGGTTGTGGTAAGCAAGCAGGAGCAATAGCATGGTTGTGTGGAAGTTATCTTTGGCAGTCACTGAGCCCGTGAATTCTCCTTGTTTGAGACAAGGTGCATGTAGCCCAGGCTGATCTGCAACTTGCTATCCAGGTGAGGCTGACTTTGAATGTCTGATCCTCCCAAACATGAGTGCTGGGATTAGGGCATTTGCCTAACAATCTTCTCTCTTGAAAAGAAAAGGAGGTTCCGAGGACTTTGCAAAGATGACCTGAGAGCCAGTGGATGCAATGGCTTTCTCAGCTTCTGTCTCTTCTCTGTCCCTGAGCAGCAGAACAGAATGAGCTAGCAATTACCTCAACCTGTCCTTAAGGGAAAGTAGAGTAATCACATTTTCCAGATCTGAGGAAAGAGCAACTGTTTTACTTATTTATATCTTGAAAATTCACACCTGTAGTAGAGAAGCTTCGGCATGTGCTTCGGGGACGTTAGCTTCATCCTTTGTTATGATCCTTTCGTTCTTAGCAAACATTTGGAGAACACCTACCAGGTTTTGGGCATAAGGGGAAAAGTAAGAGCTGGGCCTGACGTTAGAAAGCACACTTAGGAGACGCTGTCTGAAAGATAAAGATGCTATCTGTCCTTCACTCCACCAGCTTCTTCATCGGCAGCGCATTCTCTGTTGGTTAGGAAATTAAAAGATGCAGAGCAAGGGATGGGGCTCAGTCTGTACCAACATGCCATGTGTTCTTTTATCTGCGCCCTTCTGCTCTCTGGCCGTACTGTGGTCCGCTCTGTGGAAAGCTCGCGCTTACGTCTGGAGACTGCAGAGGGTCTGACTTGCAGTTGGCAGCTGCTAGCTGCCAGCAGCTCGGGGTTGGTGCTTGTATTCTGGGAAGACCCATCATAAGGACTTCTATTAGCAAACTCAGAGGGACATTCCCTCCATCGGCCAAAATCTAGCATGTGTCAACTGAACGTAGAGTTGCAGTCAGACCGTTACATAAGGCGTTAGGGAATAAGAGCTTGGAATCCAGTCGTGCATGTGGCCAGGACAAGAAGCTGCACCCTGAATTCTCCACTTTCTTAAGTTAAATACATAGCAACATACAATTCCATGATTTTAGTCGAGGCCAGGATCTGAAACTATATATAGGCTTTTGAAGTTGTTCTCCCAGGCAAGTTAATTGAGTCGTTTGGCTGTATTTACCCATTTTCTCTGTTTTTTGGTAATCAAGACACAATGGGTGATTTAAAAGAAAAAAAAAGAGCTGTCATTTGTCATTTAAAAAACTAGTAAAGAAAAAAGAGCCCTCCCCGCAACAGCAACCATTTCCTCTGCTTCCTTTCACTGTTTAAATCTCACATAATTTGTGTTGATTGCATTAAAATAAAATTATGAGCGATCACTGTATCAAGCAATCAAGAGTTTACTCTGTGTTGGATTTTAATTTCTTGGTTGGAATGCCCTTGCTCAGATGCTAGGTCCCCAGTAGGCGCTCTTTCCATTTCTCCCCATAGCGTTCCTCATTTTCCTTCCTTCACATGGCCTCTCCATCACAGGCTCCAGAGATGAGTTTGTTGGCAAGCCCATAATTTGCATATTCTAGTTACTCTCATCCCTTCTCCAGCAGTCTTAACAGACCCTCCCTCCTGTGCGGGAAGTTGAGTCAACTGCCATTCTGCATAGATAGATAGACACCCTAGAAGGTGTCCCTCAATCGTCCTTAATTACTAAAGTCTAGTTAATTCTTGCCCTCTGATTCCACCTTATGACATTCATGCCTCCTAGTGCTTTGGAGTCTGGGTTTAAGTGTAGCAAAACTGAGCTAGCTATTTTTAATTCCAGTGCCACTATGTGCTGATAGATGCATAGTTAAGAATATTTGCCTTTGATTTTCCTTGGAGTTCTAGACAGATCTCTTTTCTTAACTGCCTAGGTCCCGCCATTGACTTGGAAAAAGTAAAGTCAGAATGTCTCGAGCCCGAGCCGGAGTTACGGAGCGCTTTCAGTGAGGAAGCAAATACGTCGTCCTATTACCCCGCTCCTGCGCCTGTCATGGACAAGTATATCCTAGACAATGGCAAGGTAGTGTTTTCAGCTCAATCTCCATTCCCCCAGGTGCTTGCTAGTCAGAGGAAAGTTGGCGAGTACGGCCTCCCAGCCTAGCCCCAATGGCTGTGGAATTTATGACTTGGTAGCATAGGTTTGCTGGGACTTTCCCTTCTTCCTCTTTAAAAAGCTATTGTGTCAAAACAATTATGAAACTAACCTAACATTTTAGAACAGCTTATTAATGAGATAGGGTTTTTTTGGAAAAAAAATAATTCCTTTAATAGTTCAATGAAATTCTTCCTACCTTCTTCTGAAACCAGGTGTCTAGAGTATGCACGGTGAACTCGAAGTGAATTACCCACTTATAGATAGCCACTCAGTGTATATCCACCCAACATTTACAGAGTAGATGTTCCCACCCCCCAGCTCTCTGCTGGGGGTACAAGGCAAATGCGCTGTACTCCGTCCCCCACTCACTGGCCCACAGCTCTACGGCTACGTCTAGCTCCTCATATTTTCTCTCATGACTCCTGGAAACCAAACATGGAAGAGCACATAAGCCCCCGTGGTAAGGAGCAGAATGTCAGGACCCTTTGTTGAGGCCCTGGTAAACCCCGTTACACTCTCTGCCACTACCACACACCTTTCAGACTCACCTCTCCTTGGCCCCCCAGGAATCTTCTGCGTCAGCCCGTTTACCTTACCTCATGCTTTGAGTGATCTCTGTTTATCTGATATCATTCTCCAGTGAAAGGAAAAGATGGTTTGAGTTGGTTTGTCTAGGTATAGCCCCAGGACTGTTTGGCCTGAACCAAAGAAAATGTGGTCAAGCTGAGGGAAAGAGGCATGCTTCTCTTCAGGGCTCTCTTGGAGGTCCTGCCATGCCCTCCATCTCTTTCTGAGCGCTTACTCCTCTGCAGGGACAGGACTTGATGGACCAGGGCATAGGCCTTGTCTTTGCTTCACTCAAGAAGCTTTCAGAGTAAGCTTTGTAGGGGTAAGGTTGGAAGGCTGAGCCTTAGCTCACAGCATAGCTCGACTCTGTACTTCCCCTGCGATATCAGGCAGGTCCTTGGCCTTACTGAGCCTGCTTGTCTGTATCTGTGAAAAGCACACCACAGTGATGCTTTCACTGGGCCGTTTTGGACTGAAAGTGTGTATCTAAGTTGGTAAACCTCCCAAATTGAAGATAGAATGGGAGAACCATTCTGGGTCTCTTGATTTCTTTTTAGTCATGATCACATTGTGGAGAGAATGAAGAATTTTTCTTAAGAAACTTCCAAGAAAAATCTATTTCCCTCTTGCTTTGAAGGCTGCCAGGCAGCTTCCGAGCCCTGCTGCAGAAGTAACATTCTTTCCCAAGAAAGCAGGTCTCAGAACCCTCATTTAATTTTTAACACACACATTAAATGCCTCTTGAAAATGCCTCTTTTGCTTTTCGCCAACCACTGCTCTGAACTTCACCCAGCTTTTCTTTGAGATTGATTTGTAGTCAGGCCGAGGACTCTAGGAAAAGGGAGGAAAAGAAGCAGACTTTCTAATAACCTTCCCTGACAAGGAAAACTAACATTTTGATCAAATATTACCATAGTTTACTTGAATAAATAGGGTTTGCCACGTATATCACTTTCTGATTCCAATAGGTCTATTGGTTACCTAATGTGTTTTTATTAAAAAAAAATACCTCATTGAATCAGAAAACTGAAAAAAAAAAAACCCATTACACTTAAACATTAAGTAACAGATCTTGAAAATGCACCCAAGCAGGGTCTGATCTAAGTTGTATGACAGGTTAGGGGCAGGCGGGAACTGAAAGCCAGATCTCCTAGCTCCTAGGCCAGTGCTCTTGGCAGTCTGTCTTGCTGTGCCCCTGGGAACTGCACATTGCTCTAGATAGCCGTGAGTGTGCTGACCTCAGCAGCCCTGTTTCAGTTGCTTAGCATGGACCTGTGATGGGTCTTCCTGGGCCAAGGGCCTGTTTCTTTCTAAGCTATGGCACTGACATTGTACTCAGGTGGATGCCAGAAAACATTCTGTTCTCTAAGGAAGAGCTGCTCATCAGAAATGAAGCCAAAGCCATGAAGATGTATTAAATATGCTCCTATGTTTAGTATTGCTTTGAGTTTAGGTTGGTCTTGATCACTCTGCAGGAGGCAGAAGTGGGGAGCCTTGACCTCTCCCCCCTGGGATGTGCCTTGACCAGAAGGACTGAGTCAGCTGGCCATAGGTGAGCTGGTGCCTCCCAAGGGGTGTAACCTAAGCCTGTGGCAGTTAAATAACACCTCCTGGGGTGTGGAGTGGGTGTGCAAAGCTGAGTAACTTAAAATGGCAGGAATCTGTCATCCTAAGGGCATTGCTTCCTTTTTGGGCCAGAGCAATGCGAGAACAGAGATGCCAATGAGGAAAGAAGGGGCAGGATGTAGCAGCCACTTGCTGTATGTTCTCCTTACATGTAGTTCGTCTCTCTTAGTACTTGTTTATCCCTCTGTGAGATAGAGGATGCTCTGTGTGGTTAAGAAAATTGAGGCTCAGAGAAGTATGGTGACTAGCCCTGGCCAGTGTTAATCACCTGACAGACGGAAGAATGAGGGTCTGCACCCAGGGCTGGCAGCACAGAGCCCATCCCCCTCCTGTTCTAGCACTGGAAGAAGGCGGTGGATGTGTCCGGAGACTTTATAGAAGAATGGACTTACTGGGTTGGTGATGGGATGGAGCCAGGCTGAGGGGGTCAGATCTGATAACAAATAGGGAGCCATGCCAAATTCCGAGGGGCTGACATAAAAACACAGAATAGAAGACGGCTGAGGCCATCTGGTTGAAGGAGGAAGGCAGTGTTTTAGGGAAGTGGATAGCAGTGATTACAGGGTGAGCTGAATGGAGTAGCCACTGGCAAGAAAGCCAGTCCAGCCTGGCTTTTTTTCCAGTTTCCATCCGCCTGAGGTATACTGGGCGGGGAGCTGGCGCGGGATGTGGCCTGCAGGTGCAGAAGACTCAAAGGGAAACCAAATAAGCAGGGCTTGCCCTGTTAGGTGTGCACTTTCCAGCCACCTTAGCCCCACCTGGACACTCAGGCCAGTAGGGCATGAACCGGGCAGTGCAGATTTGGGACTGAATCTTCATTTTTACACTAGCTGATTGCGTGTCTGGGGTTCCCCATGCCCCGAGTTTGTGTTCCCATGTGTGAAATGAGAACAGCAATTTCTGCCAGCTTCTAACTCTAAAGATTCTTAGGAGGATTAAGGAAGCTGGATTCATTATAGGTACTCAATAATATGGCTCCTTTTCCTTCTAGGACATTGGCTCACATGACTTCATCTCTCTTCCAGAGTGATAAATTAAGGCAGGTGTTGTAGTGTAGACTTACAATCCCAGGAGTCAATAGACTGATTCAGGAGCCTTGTTGCGTGTGTCTCTGGGTTTCTCTTTCAGAATCTAGAGCAAAATCCCTTGTCTCCCTCCCATCTCAGGCAGCTTGTGTGGGTGGCCTCAGAGTGTCATCAAGGGAGGGACACAGCTCCACCAGGGACCTTGCACTCAGCATGACTGCTCACCTGGCACAGACAGTCCATCTGCAGTTCAGACGCAAACAGGGAAAAGGCCACATTTGGCCTTGGGCTCTGGTTGCTAAGCCAGCCCCTGGGCAGCACATCTCGCCCCAGGGCTGCTTATCTGTCTGAGCAGAACAAACTGATTAGCAGTCCTGAAGTGCTGGCACAGAGAGGGCAGGTGGATGCGGTTATCTGCCCTCACACTGCAGGCTGAGTGATCTTTTGAGCGAAAGGAGGTGAAGCTAGATGTGGCCTGCAGAGCGTTTACTTAGCAACGACAGTGAGCTGCCGGGTCGTTTATTTTGATGGTTAGAAAACCTTAGTAATCGATGAAGGAAGTATTACTGGCTGACTGGGCTGCCCATCTCTGCATCCACCTTTCTTCCCAAGCCAAGTTTGAGTAGAAGAATCTTGAATCATTTCTTGAGCAATCGTTCTTATATTCAACCTTATTTGTGTGTGTGTGTGTGTGTGTGTGTGTGTGTGTGTGTGTGTGTGTATGTGTGCGCGAGCGCGTGTACCATCCCAGTCCAGGACCTCGCCGAGATGTTTCCTGCCCATGTCTTGGTCAGGTCTTTATGAAAACAAGGGCCTTTAGCAGAGCCTTCTCACACCCCTTGAAAAAGTCGACTGATTAGGAGGTCCCTTCCCTCCATCCCCCAGAGGCTGTTTCTGTGCTCCACAGGCCCAGCAGAAACTCAGCCTAAATGGCTATGTCAAAGGTCAAAACTTCCTTTTTTTAAATGACGAACATTACTTTGGGTTTGTGAGTTGCTCAGGGCCACGAGTGAGGACAGGTTTTAAAGCTGTAGCTCATTGCTGGAAGCAGAGGGCTACAGTGATTTCTTGGCTCTCATTATCACTCTGGCTCTGGCTCTTTCTCTTCCAGGGAGCACAAGATTGTATTCTGGTGTGTGTGCTACCAAACTCAAACCGGATACATTGCGGTTGCATTTAATTGCTTAAAATCCTATGTGTTCTCAGCCAGAGAGATGAACTTTGAGATGAAATCCAAGTCTCCCACTTCGTAGATAGTGGAGCTGCAGTGTGAGCTGGAGAAGGACGCGTGCAGCTACGCTCCTGCTGGCTGCAGAGCCAGGCCGCTGCTCTGCCCCTGCCAGCTGGCAGGGATTTATAACTTAGCTCTAAATTGGAATTATCTAGGGAGCTAAACCATCCTGATGTCTAGGCCACACCCAGACCACATAATTCAGAATCTAGGCACCAGTGATTGCTGTAGCTGGTGAGTCCCGCATGCAGCCTCCACTGTGTTAGCAGGAGGTGTGCCTCGGAATGTGCAGGTAGAAGAGAGTCTGATCCTTCTAGAGTATAACACACGTGAGTACATACTGTCCTGAGCATGGGTCAGGCTCAGAGCACCCACGTACTACCACAAGTGCAGCTTAGAGTCCCAGATCTGCCACTCAACGAGTTGAGTGACATCTAAAGTCACTTCACATCACTGAACTTAATTTTTCCATGCGAAGTGGCAACTGTATCATTGCCCCTTCTGTTTAAGAGCGGGAAGTTGGAGCTTTGGAATAAGGCCTGATGCCTTGCAAGAATTCCGTAAGTGATGCTGTTCCCGCGTCTGTGGCATGAAGCCCTTGTAGTGGAGAAGCGGTGATTTAAAGGACAGCAGCAGCCTCCAGCTGCCTTCCTGTCGGACTAAACAGGTGTGGTGTGATCTCTTTCAGGTTCATCTGGGAAGTGGGATTTGGGTTGACGAGGAGAAATGGCACCAGCTACAAGTCACCCAAGGAGATTCTAAGTACACGAAGAACTTGGCAGTCATGATCTGGGGAACAGATGTTCTGAAAAACAGAAGTGTCACAGGAGTCGCCACGAAAAAAAAGAAGGATGCAATCCCGAAGCCACCCCTCTCTCCTCACAAGCTAAGCATCGTCAGAGGTAGCACACCCAGTGGAAGCACAGTGCTGGGCATCCTGTCCTTTACTTTGTTAGAAATATAGTGTGCAAGTTTCAATCTGGTGAATGATTGCTGGAGCCCCCGTATGCCGGGCCCCAACAGGAGCATAGGGGCAGACAGCATAGCTGTCACCAGAGATCTCACTCTGAACCGGACAAATGAGTCTGGACACAAATACAACTCAAGGGTGTGGCATGGCATGCAAGGGGGACAGCGGTTGTGCTGGGGATTGTCGGAGGGGAGGATCCCAGCGAGAAGGCTACTGGACAGGGCCCTCCACTGCTCATCAGACAGAGATGCTGTGGGTGTGGAGGGGACTTCTGGAGGCAGAAGCATCTTGAACAGGGGTTGCAGATGGGAAAGGGGTGTGTCTAGAGAGCAGTAAAGGTCCAGGCTGGGGAGCCTTTTTATCTGAGCCATGTCTAGAGCAGACAATAGGATGAGCAGCAGTTGGTACAGCTTCCTTCCTGGTGCCTGGAAGGCAGGCAAAGAATCAGGGAGTCCTTTGTCACCAAAGGTATGGTTAGTCAACATGCTCCTTATGTGTCTCCCTCTCTCCCTCTTTCCTTCCTCCCTTTTCTTGCCTTCTCACTCTCTTCTCTCTCCCCCATCCATTCCCTAACTTCTTCCTCTTTTCTAACCGTCTCCTGGGGTGAGGACACAGATGACAGGACACAGTGTGCACCTACAAGGAGCTCAGTCTCATGGGGAAATTAAACAAAAGAACAATAGTACTGCACTAGACAGTCAGCACAAAGTAAGAAGTATGGTATAAGGAGCAGAGTGAATATAGTAAGTGCTAATTATTCTGAGGATTTGTTATATCCCATTATATTAAAACATCTGTCTTAGACAGTTTTATATATAGTAACTCACTATCCTATCAACAACCATACTGTTGGCTGCTGTTAGTATGCTTTTCACAGATAAGGAAACTGGGCCCCCAGGTAGCAGGTACTTTTTCTCAGGTTGTAATAGCAGGAGGAAATTCAGGAGTTCGCAGGTGGCTTTGGTGTCTGTTCCTAGTTACTGTTCTCTAAAAGGCCAGGTCTGCCACATTTTGATGAAGAAAGTAAGACCCAGTTAGGGGAATGTCTTGTTTGAGCCGGTCCTGTAGTTGAGCACATTCTGGGCCCAAAAGAGTAATGCATCTACGATGTGGCCAGGTGACTGCATCATAGGTCCTCTGAGTTTCGTACAAGATGTGATGAGACAAAGGGCTGCATCAGCTCCGTTGGGGAGGAGGCCTGCTGGAACAGATGGCATTCCAGCTGAGAGTCACCCTGGAAAAGGCAGCCTGTGACAGTTGGAGGAACGGTGGGTCAGCCAGAATAAACTGCGGCACAGAGACCAGCAGATCGGGTGAAGTGGCTCAAGGGGAGAAGCGGCTTTACAGCGGGGAGTGGGGTCAGGGAGGTGGGTAAGAGCGAGTCTCACGAGGAAGTGAAAAGCATCGTAGGCAGCTTGAGAGACTGCCATTTGGAGGGGTGGCACCTGGAGAGATCAAGGAGAGCCAGCACTGTCCCAGACCAAGGTTGGAAAGTGGGCAGTAGAGAAGGGCTGGTTATGTCATATGCTGTAGAGGTCAAGGTGGCAGGACACTGAGGGATGATGCAACTCAGCCGAAGTCACAGCTAGAGCGCGTCTGAGTCTGGATTCAAACCCACATGTTCTCACTCTGGTAGCACAGGTGTCTCCCCTCCTGGCTAGCCCATGATTAATTGAAGAAGGCAGCCACTTATTTTTAGATAATAAGAGGGAACCTGTAGTCAGCCGCTGTCTGAAACGGTGCAGCTTTATTCCAGAGGTCACCCTGAGAAAGGCCCTGCTTTGGCCGTCAGTGCCAACTATACCCTCAGATAACTGTCATGTTTGGGTAGAAAGCTAACTGCCCAGAGTCTGCCTCCATTACAGGAGATGGTCGCTGACTTCCCCGTGTTCATTGCTCAGTGCAGTTCCAGCACTAAACAAGGTTGAACACAAGAAGCCCCCAGACCTTGACCGACCCTGCCCCACACTAAATAGGACTTTTTACTTCCTCTCTTGTTCTTGTTTCTCTTTAGATAATATAAATCTTTAGCCGTTTGTTAATTATTTCCCCTCTTTTGTTCCCTTGGCTGAAAACCTATGTGCTTTTATTTTTGTTCTTGAGACAGGGTCTCACTCTGTAGACCAGGCTGACCACACAAGCTCCAGTTATCCTCCTGCCTCCACCACTCTCCGTTACACTGCCCGTTAAAGGTTCTGCACAGCATTATTTGCTTATTTGAAAATTATCTTTCTCCCTTGCCTCCATTAGAAGCTCAGCTTCATGGGCATCTTGTTCAGGGCTTACATGCAGTAAGCATTTAATAATATTGACCTTTCCCATGCAGCCTTCGGCCCTTCTGTGTTCCCTCTCTTAATGAATAGCATAGCCAGACAGGTGCATCCCCATCCCTCCTCCCACGCTCCTGCCTCTCCATCCTTCCTGTTTCTAAACACCTCCCAAACCCTCCCGGTTTGTCTAGATCCACTACTTTCATAATTCAGGCCTAGCTTTGTGCTCCCCGGCTCCACCCCAAAGCCTCCAGACTCCTCCCCTCATTATGTAACCGGAGTGACCTCTCAGAAAACAGATCTGACCTCTCACTACCATCCACTCCAGCCAGTTCAAAGTCCCCATGGTTAGAGGGGACTTAGCATAACATACAGGCACGTTCACAGCCTGGTCACTGGCTGTTGTTCTGGCTGTAGATTTTAGTTATTAGCAGAATCAACTGAACAAGCCTCATTTGCTATCACCTTGGGACCTGCAAGTGCTACACCTCATACCTGGAATAGTCACCGCCCCTCTACCTGTGCTGGTATACCAGCTACTTCTGCTCACAGCAGATTTGCCTGGGCTCTTAGCCCCCAAAAGACTCCTCATGACCTCTTAGTGCAGCTGGGTGCTTCCACCATGTGTCCCAGAGCATCCGGTATCTGACTCAGTTCTTTTTTCTTGGCGGCTTCCTAGGACCCTCGGCTCTAACAGAGTGAGCCAAGCCAGACTGGGGTTTCAGGCTTCAGGCGTCAGCACGAATCTCTTGTCATACTGAAATACGAGGGTCATGTTTTACTTCCTCACTGCAGCCAGGCGGGTTTGAGGTCTGTGTGCCATCCCAGCACACAGTCACCATTTTTAGCCTAATTATCTGAACGATTCCAGCCGGCATTCAGCTGGTTCCTCCCGGGCAAGCTGTCTGGCAAGACTGGGACTGTTTGTGTTTGTGTGTGTTGTGAGCATACTTTGTCGTGTTGGGTGCATAAAAGTGACAGAAGCCTCCATGCTCACAGCACTGGGAGGATTTTCTCATCTCTTTGATGTTAAAATCCTTCCCTACCAAACAGCAAACCGACGGGAGAATGCTGACCCTGCCGTGGAGAGATGAAAGCTGGAGGACGGAGCGGGGTCTTGCTCCGATGACAAGCTCTGAAATGACAGTTAAACCTTATTAAGGTCGAATGACCTTTTGCAGGGTAGCTGAGCTTTCTAAATGAGCCGCAGCATTGCGTTCTGGTTAATTTTTATAACTTTTTTAATAGGACACATTAGCGCTGTTATAAACCTTGTTAATTAAGCAATAATCTCAAATGCTCCCTCGCAGAGGGACACGTTCCCAGCATCTGCAGGTGATTAATAGCTAGAGTCGAACAAAAGCCTTTTAATCAACCTGAGGGGCCATTCAGAGCTGTTACCCCAGGAAATGAAAATGATTGGAATTCTGTAGGGGCCTCCTGAACACATTCTTCAATGTGTGCCCTTCTCTTTCCATTTCTTCTCTGGAGGCATCACCCCTACCATCCTGTCTTTTGCTTCTCTCTCCTGCCTTTGCTGTCTCGGAGACCCCTGGAGAGACAAAACTCCCTAGATTATCTAGTGTGGCACACCACTGGATAGCAACACTTACCCCAGGTTCCTCTCAGAGGCATCTGGGGTGAGAGCCATGTTTGAGCCTGAACATCTCTCCACAGACTTCTCGCTGATTAGATTAGGTCAAAGCTTGGTTACCTGACTGATAGCATGTTCCTGATTCAGGGAAGTGGGGGATGATTGGACTTTTATCAGAGCACAATCCATACCTCCATAGGAAACTCTACAGGCGTGGGAGCAGCATACTAGGTAGACCTCAGTCTCCTCACTCAGCTGGGTAGTTCCAAGCAGAAGAGAATGAGCGGGGCTTAAGAAGGTGAAAACCAGAGCAGGGATCTTCTGGGAGGAGATGATGAGGATGCTTGCTTTGTGGGGTGCTCTGGAAAGGAAAGGGGTGATAGGTAGACAGAGCAGAAGACCCGGCTGCCCATCTTCTTATCTCAGTCCTTGCAGACAAGTGTAGTTCAATGAGCTGGGCAGTCATGGGTGGTAAGGAGGCAGTGGAGGCCAGATAAGGCACCTCTGAATAGAACTCTTCTCAGTGGAAAGGAACAGGTGAGCCAGAGTAAGCACGTTTGTGGTACACACACCCACAGCATGGATGGCAAGAACAGGTAGTCTCTTGGAAAGGCAAACATGGATTCTGACCTAAACTGCCCCTTTACTCTAGTTCCCAGGCTTCTCCCATGTGAATGGAAGGCTTAGAATAAGTTGGGCTTACAAGATAATGCTCTGAATCACCTCTGTGCTGACTCCATAAAGGCCACACTGTGGAAAGAATTTGCAGTTTCGCCCATGATTATACACCCTACCCATACTTGGGTCTGGAATATATTTGAGTGGTTGCGTGTGTGTGCACTTAGAGGCTAGAAGTCAGTCTTGTTTCTCTGGTGCCATCCACCCTATTTTTTTGAGACAGGGTCTCTTCACTGGTCTAGAACTCACCACTTATTCTGGGCTATCCAACCAATGAGCCTCAGGAATCCACTTGTCTCCACCTCCCAAGTGTTGGGATTACAAGCATGCATGACCATATCTGGATATTTTTGTATGAGTTCTGGGCCTGGAACTCATGTCTTCCTGCTTTCAAGGCAAAAACTTTCCCAACTGAGTTATCTCCCTACATGTTAAATGCAGAATTTTTAGATGTTTTCAGTCTTCCCTGGAAAGGCATTCAGGCACTCATCATATATGTATGTCCTTTATCACACTCTGTGCGAGGACCTGGGAAATGAACAGTCGCATAAACATAAAATGATTGTAATCATTCCATATGGGTATAGGATTCGTTATTGCTTAAACGGGACTTACAAATGTTTATCCCACATGCTTCCTGGAATCATTCTAAAAGCTACTCTGGAGTTTGTTGTCCTTGTTAATGATGTGCGAATTCTAGGACAATAATTTGTACCAAATCTCCAGGCATGGAGACTGGTAGAAAACCAGGCTCTAGTCAGGTCTTGTACAGGCTGGCTCTGCTTCACCATAGCAAATAGTAAGACCTCTCAGAGAGCAGCTGTCCCAAGCCTCAGGAACAGTCACTTTACACACACAATATTAATGGTGTGACAGTGTCGAGTGCTAGTGATGTTACAGGGTGACCAGGACTGACTTGCATTCATTACCACTTGGGAATGGCATTCAGCACGTTTTGGAAAACAATTTACCAAGCATCACCTAGTGAAGCTGAGTAGGCATACTCTCTAATGGTTAGCATTGCCATGCCTAGGCTGGCACTTAGAGAGTTTCTTCGATAAATACCCTCAGCCATGGGCAAGGTTGTTTGCGATTGCAAAACCAGTATCCATGGACAATCAAATGCACAGTTAAAAGTAGGATAAAGTCATATAGTAGAGCATGTCTCATCAGCGAGCGAAGGCGGTGACTTTTCGGGTTACCTGTCGCTGTACTCTGTAATATTGTGTATTCCACTGAGTAAAATCAGCAAAGCAGAACAATAAAGAGATGGACACATTTATTAAAAGGCTGAAGACAGGAAAAAAATATTTAGGGACATATACCCACATGATAACATTAAGAGATAAGCCAAAAAATTAAGAGAGTAGTTACCTGTGATGAAGATGGGGAGAGAGAGAAGCTCAGCATCAGGTTTTAGAGGGGTGTAGTAATCTGGCCAGTGGGCTTTTCATCACTGAATTCTAGACAGGGTCACACTACATATGAATTCAATATGTAGTTAATGGCTGACTTTCACCTCACAGAGATCTACCTGTCTCTGGCTCCTAACTTTAATGGTGTGAACCACCACACCCGGGTCTTACCTTTATTTTTAAAGTACACACTTAATAGTGTTTATCTATATTTATGGCAGGACTTTAGATATATAGCCATGTAAGATAATGTGAACCAGTATTTGAAAGTGTGTCAGGAGGCATGTCCTCTTTCTTCTCCTTGAAAGGCTTATTCTCAAATTCGTCATTAATCCTTGACCTTCCTGTCTCTTCCTTCTAGAGTGTTTGTATGACAGAATAGCACAAGAAACAGTGGATGAAACTGAAATTGCACAGAGACTCTCCAAAGTCAACAAGTACATCTGTGAGAAAATCATGGATATCAACAAATCTTGTAAAAATGAAGAACGAAGGGAAGCAAAATACAATTTGCAATAAACTTTGGATTTTTTCATAAAGCCTTTGCATTTTCCTTGTGTGGTGTGTGCATTATGGGCGACGGTGCCATCCAACTAGACCCCACCAGGCGCGGCTATGTCTTGGCAGAGGGCCTTCAGGGTGCTGAGGTCAATGTCTTATCTGGACTTGGACTTCGTACTTCGAAGAATGCAGATGGATTTGCTGAGACTCAGCAGAGCCTCGCACCCCAACCAGTGCTGGTGAGGGATGGGAAAGCACTTTTCATGGGGCTGCAAGGCATCAGAGAAGCCTGTTGGGACCACAGTATGAACTGTTGTTTTTACCACTGGAGCACATCTGTCTCTGCTCCTCTATTTTGTTCTATAATAAAACTCCATTAATTCTTGATGTAGACAATTGTTCTCTTTTTTATATAACATTAAACACGTGTGCTGCATATGGCCTGCAAGGCCCTCTCAGGAGAGAGATTCTCGTAAGGGTCATGGGTCCTGTGATGGCTGACTCTAAGGGTCTCCAGAGCATCTCACTCTCTCTGACTTTGAAGGATGAGTCTTGGACCACTCAGGTTTTCCAAGATGATCTGCGATTAGCATCCGGAAAAATAAGCTTCCCCGATTATTTGAGCCTACTTTTGTAAAGAAATGGGTACTGAGGGCCTAATAATGTTAGCTGTGGTACAAGGTTGCCAGAAAATGAGATATGTCAGAGGCTAGCAGTTCGTTTATTCTTTTATCTCAAATGATCTTGCAGGTTACGTAATTGTTTATCTGCTTTATTTGGTTGCTGGATCTTTATGGTGCCTGGCACGTGTTTTTGGCAAACCACTTTCTATCTTCCTGTGGGCTTGCACTTTTCTCTATGCAATGCCAATAAAGTAAGTGTGGCATTTTGGAAAGGGCAAGGGCTTTGGACAAATGCCTCTAGGTTCTAAGCCTGGCTCTCCTGCTTGCTCTGGCATTAACATAACCTTGTACCTCCACTTTCCGTTCCGTAAAAGAGAAAACCCGCCTCACGTAGTCGCTCTAAGGATTAGAGATAAAATGTATAAAGTGTTCAATAAATGTCAGCAATTGCTACCTTCATTTTTTGATTTTGGACTTTTAGACATTGGTGGAAAACTTTGTAGTTTTTCTCATTCTTTAACCTTTAATGATCTATAAACAAAAGCTCAAGGTTACTTAAATAGGTTAAATAGGTGGAGTGGGTGCCACTCTGAGACCCTATATTTCAGTAAATCCAGTAATCCTTTGTAATATAACAATAAATTTAATGATCCTTTGTTGACCAGTGGGTGCTCACCATAGGATATTTCGACAAGGATTTTCTTCTGGAGTATTTCCCCCAGCTCTCTGTAAAGCAGCAGTGTGGTCTTCACACAAAGATTTCGCTTTTCAGAGTCCTGAGCAGTAGAATGAGGACATCAGGCAGTGGGGGAGAATAATAGTAACTGGTTATACAGCAGGATTTGCCTACGTGTTGAGCATGGTTGGCTTTCATGAGGTGGGGAAAGTTTGTGGTTGGTGTTCAGCAAGTTCTAGCTAAGATGTGTTCGCTTTTCAGATGGGCATGGCGGCCCACACCTGTCGCCCTTGTACTTTGGAGGTAAGGCCGGAAGGTCAGGAGTTCAGGGCCAGCTTTAGCTATGTCGTAAGTGTCTCAGTTAGGTTGCTGTGTTGCTGTGATCAAACACCATGACCACAAAGTGACTTGAAGAGGAAGGGCTTATTTCAGCTTCTGTGTCCTGATCACAGCCCATCATGAAGACAAGTCAGGGCAGGAACTCATCTAGAGGCACGAACTGAAGCAGAGACCACCTGAGAATGCTGGTTACTGACTCGCCCCGCCCCCATGCCTTGCTCACCCTGTTTTTTTTATATAGTCCAGGACCACCTGCCCAGGGCTGGCTTCCCCCACAGAGGGCTGAGCCCTCCTACATTAATGATCAATCAAGAAAATGGCCCACGGGCTTGACTACAGGCCAATGTCCACTGAGCATATTTTTTTCCAGGCGACTTCAGCTGTGTGAAGTTGACAAAAACCCTAGCTAGCACAGTGAGCATGAGGGCATGAGGCCAGCTAGGACTACAAAATAAATAAATAAATAAATAAAAAAGAAAAAAAGATCTGTTCACTTTTATACTATCAGGCAGCTAGGGCCTAAGTGATTCAAAATAAAACATATGCCAAGGTTGACCTCATCCCTTTTTTCCCAAAACGTGAAGAAAATATAGACACCCGGAGGCTGTGTGTGTGCCTCAAAGACTAGTCCAACTGGCTCATCAGGCTCCCGGGTGTGTCAGTTCAGTGAGGAAGACGGCAATAGCTATAGTAAAAATACCTGTGGATATGAAAGCGTTTATCATATGAGTGACTTATTTATGATGCACATGTTAGGAGAAACCGGACTGTCAAAGACGGGGACCTGGGTTCAAGTCCTTATTTTGCTCCTGTGTGCCTGTTTCTTGACTGCTAATAATGACCCCTAATTCAGAATTGTGCCGAGGAAGCAGGAAAGGGCTCCGTGAGTCACTATTCCCAGCTACTGTTCCCCATAGATTGTTTGAAACGCTTGGTCTCCAGCCGATAGGACTGTTAGGGAAGGTTCTGGGGAACTTCTAAAGAGAGGGCCTAAATGGGAAAGCTTGGTCACTGGAGGTAAGACTTTCAAGCAAGTACCTAGCCCCCAGTACCTACTGGGCACTGGACTTCCTGGTCCACCATGTAGCTAGCTTCTACCACATGCTCCCGCCACAACATAAACCCCTTCCTCATGCCTTTCTCCACCACAATGAATAGATACCATCTGCAGTCATGAAGCCAAAATGAAATGAATCTTTTGTCCCTTGTCATAGGGTTTTTTGTTTGTTTGTTGTTGTTGTTGTTTTTGTTTTTTGCCAACTTGACAAAATCTAAACATGCTTGGGAAGAAGGGCCCTCAACTGAGTAATTGCTTCTCACGGATCAGCCTGTTGATTTCTGTGGGTCATTTTCTTGATTACTGATTGTTGTGGGAGAACCCAGTCTGCTGTGGGCAGGACCATCTTTAGGTGGGTGGCCCTGGGCTGTGTAAGAAGTAGAGCTGAACAGGAGTATGGGAGTGAGCCAATAAGGAACAATCCACCATGGTCTCTGCTTCAGTTTCTTCATCCAGACTTCTGCCTTGAGTTCCTGCCTTAGCATCCCTGGTGGACCACTCACAAGTTAAATTAACCTTTTCCTACTCAAATCACTTTTGGTAAGAATATTTAACACATCAACAGAAACCTAACTGGGATATACTCTAAGTTCACTCTGACAAGTATTGTGCCCATAGTGATATGAAAGAACTAATGAAATCACACACAAACACACACACACAGAGAGAGAGAGAGAGAGAGAGAGAGAGAGAGAGAGAGAGAGAGACAGAGACAGAGACAGAGACAGAGAGAGAGAGATCGAGAGAGATCTTCAGCAATTAAGGCAGAGAGAAATTAGAAGTGGATGCAATAGCAAAACATGCTTTTAAGAGCAAGGCTGAGGGTATAAGGAGGTTTCACCCACTAATTAGACTGACTGATAATGTTTTGAGTCTCTGGAATGTGCCTGATACCTTAAACATTTGACATGAGTGAAGTGGGCTCAGAAAAGGTTGAGTAATATCTTGCCTAAGGAGCTAGAGCTGGCAGCAGTGGAACTGGGTCTAAATTCAGATGCAGCTACTAGGGAAAGAGAAGAATCTCAAGGGTCAGCTAGTCTAAGGTAGGCATCAAAACAGCAGAAAACAAGAGAGACCCTGCCTCAAAACCAAAGCAAGGTCAAAGGAGAGAACAGTTCCCAAAAGTTCTCTCTCCCTTCCTCCCTCAATTCATAAATAAACAGATAAATCAAAAACAAATCAGTATACCATCTTTCCTAAGAAGGTAAGTGGACTACTGCAATGGTTGTGAATCAGAGTATGTGTGTGTAGGAATCGCCCAGCCTCAGTAATCCATGGCAATTATTCTCATTAATTCAAGTCATTAGTAGATATTGGAGGTAATTACATCATAATAGTTTATTTTATTCAAGTGGAAACAAAGTAGGAATGCGTATTTTAACATAAACACCACTTTTGAAAAGCACCGGTTTATTAGAACTCAGATGTACACACCAATGAAAGACTAAGAGTGTTCTCTCAGTAAACGGAAACCTCTGCTAGTCCCCTGAAGATATCTGCAATTGAGTCTTAGTTTTTTCCTCAGTAATGGGCTCTTCCCTGCAACTTTGTTTAGAGTGATTTTTTCACACTCCCAGAATTCTGTTTGGTTGGGTCTGATACAGAAGGGGGCTTTTTGTCGAAATGCCAGTGATCTCCCCCTAGCCTTTACACTTGGATTCCTTTGATTCTCATGGTGGGCCAGTGTGTCTTGTTGGGCAGGATGGCAATACTGAATTGACAGAACCTGAGTCCATCCCAGAAGCCCTGGCTACAGATCCCTTCATCAGGTGGAAGAGGAAGGTGGGACTCATTTTATTTCCAGCCCATGGACTGAGTGAGAAAGTCTGATTCCCTCCTGCCCCAGTTTGTGTCTTGGGTGTGTTTCTACATTGTGATTATTTTTTTTTTAATTTATAAAAATTTCAACTTCCTCCCCTCCTCCCAATACCCTCTCTTCCCACTCCCCCCACTCCCTCTACTCCTCCCTCTCCAGTCCTAAGAGCAGTCAGGGTTTCCTGCCCTATGGGAAGTTCAAGTTCCTCCCTCCTCCCTCCAGGTCTAGGAAGGTGATCGTCCAAACAGACTAGGAACCCAAAAAGCCAGTACATGCAGACGAAACAAGTCCCAGTGCCATTGTCAATGGCTTTTCAGACAGCCCCCATGTCAGCCACATTCGGAGAATCCGGTTTGATCACATGCTTGTTCAGTCCCAGTCCAGCTGGCCTTGGTGAGCTCTCATTAGATCAGTCCCCTTGTATCAGTGGGTGAACACACCCCTCGCTGTCCTGACTTCCTTGTTCATGTTCTGCCTCCTTCTGCTCCTCATTTGGACCTTGGGGGCTCAGTCTAGTGCTCCAATGT